TTGTTTTTGTTTTTCCGTATTAAGTGTCATTAATTAGTGCCGGCGTAATTAAACTGACGCTAAATTAAATTTCCCTAAAATTTCAAAAATCCCAAAATCTAAACTTCTCGAAATCTCCAATTACCAAAAGTCCAAACCCCAAAAATCCAAAATGCGCAAAATTTCAATCATCGCAAATCTTCAAAATTCCAAAATATCAAGTTTCCAATATTTCAAAACTCCCAAAATCTCGATTCAGTCTTTAATTGCTGCTCAATCTCTTCTGTTGATATTCTCGGAGGTCTTTTGGACATCTTTGGAGACATCTTTTGGAGAACTGTTGGAGATATTTTGGAAACTTGGAGATCTGTGAACAACCTCGGAGATGTTCATAGATTTAATGAGGATATTTTTGAGACCATTGAAGATTTTGGAGATCCGCGGGGAATTTCGAAATCGCTGACGATCTTTGGTCGTAGTCAAAGATTCGATCTCAGGCATCATTGGAGATTTTTGGATAGTATCACCGATCCTCGAAGATCGGACATCTTGCTTTTAGAGCCCTTTTGGTTTTGAGATTTTTGGACATCTTCCGGAAACTGAAAGTTTTTGACATCCGCCAACAATCGTGCACATAGTGCAAAATCTTGAAATACCGTGAGGTTCGCTGGAAATATCTAAAAACTTCGGGTAATCGTTGGAGTTTCTTGGTTATCGGTGTATATACTTGGAGGTCCTTAGACATCTTTGGAGATCTTTTGGACATACATATTGTGGACATCTTCGGAAATTTTCTGGAAATCTTTTGGAGACATTTGGAAGTCCTATGGATATCTAGAGACTACTGTAAATGTGCGTAGGGATCTTCTGGGAGCGTTTGGGAGCTCTTTGCATAAAAGTATCGACGGTAAAGGTAGGCGAAAATTTAAGGAAATCTGGAAATCTATGGGGGTCTTTTGCAATACTCGGAGATTCTCGCATATCTTCGATACGTTAGGAATATTCTGGACATATTTTGAAGATTCAGAATCTTTAGGGGATTTTTGCCTATATTATGAGACCTTCAAAGATCCTCGGGGACACCTTTGGGATTGTTTAATGGATCTTTGAGGATTGTTAGAGAATTCAAAGCTATGAATTTCAGAAGATTTTGGTCCAATCGCTCAAAAATTTTGTTTGGGCGTCTCCTATGCTTCCATAATATTTTTTTTTAATTCATGGCTCTGCATTTAACCATGAATCTCAAAAAATGTTGGTCCGATAACGCTAAAATTTGGTTTGGGAGTGTCCTATGCGCCCATAATATTTTTTTTTTATTCATGACTAAATTCAGAGCCATGAATTTCAGAAGATTTTGGTCCAATCGCTCAAAAATTTGGTTTGGGAGTGTCCTATGCGTCTATAATATATATTTTTTAATTCATGGCTCTGCATTTAACCATGGATTTGAAAAAATGTTGGTGCGATAGCGAAAAAATTTGATTTGGGAGTATCTTATGCGTCCATAATAATTTTTTTTTAATTCATGACTAAATTCAGGGCCATGAATTTCAGAAGATTTTGGCCCAATCGCTCAAAAATTTTGTTTGGGCGTCTCCTATGCTTCCATAATATTTTTTTTTAATTCATGGCTCTGCATTTAACCATGAATTTCAAAAAATGTTGGTCCGATAGCGTAAAAATTTGGTTTGGGAGTGTCCTATTCGTCTATAATAATTTTTTTGAAATTCATAACCAAATTCAGGGCCATGAATTTTAGAAGATTTTGGCCCAATGGCTCAAAGATTTCGTTTAGGAGTGTCCTATGCGTCCATACAATTTTTTTTAATTCATGGCTCTGCATTTAACCATGGATTTGAAAAAATGTTGGTGCGATAGCAAAAAAATTTGATTTGGGAGAATCTTATGCGTCCATAATAATTTTTTTTTAATTCATGACTAAATTCAGGGCCATGAATGTCAGAAGATTTTGGTCCAATCGCTCAAAAATTTTGTTTAGGAGTGTCCTATGCGTCCATACATTTTTTTAAATTCCTGGCTCTGCATTTAACCATGAATTAAAAAAAATTTGGTCCGATAGCGCAAGAATTCGGTTTGGGAGTGTCCTATGCGTCCATAATAATTTTTTTAAATTCATGACTAAATTCAGGGCCATGAATTTCAGAAGATTTTGGTCCAATCGCTCAAAAATTTTGTTTAGGGGTGTCCTATGCGTCCATACATTTTTTTAAATTCATGGCTCTGCATTTAACCATGAATTAAAAAAAATTTGGTCCGATAGCGCAAGAATTCGGTTTGGGAGTGTCCTATGCGTCCATAATAATTTTTTTTGAAATTCATGACCAAATTCAGGGCCATGAATTTCAGAAGGGTTGGGTCCAATCGCTCAAAAATTTGGTTTGGGAGTGTCCTATGCGTCCATAATAATTTTTTTGAAATTCATGATCAAATTCAGGGCCATGAATTTCAGAAGATTTTGGTCCAATCGCTCAAAAGTTTGATTTGGGAGTATCCTATGCGCCCATAATAATTTTTTTGAAATTCATGACCAAATTCGTGGCTATGAATTTCCGAAGATTTTGGTCCAAGCGCTCAAAAATTTTGTTTGCGAGTGTCCTCTGCATCAATAATATATTTTTTGAATTCATGGCTGTGCATTTAAGCATGAATTTCAAAAAATGTTGGTCCGATAGCGCAAAACTTTGGTTTGGGAGTGTCCTTTGCTTCCATAATAATTTTTTTGAAATTCATGACTAAATTCATGGCCATGGATTTCAGAAGATTTTGGTCCAATCGCTCAAAATTTTGTTTAGGAGTGTCCTATGCGTCCATAATTTTTTTTTAAATTCATAGCTCTGCATTTAAGCAAGAATGTCAAAAAATATTGTTCCGATAACGCAAAAATTTTGTTTGGGAGTGTCCTGTGCGTTCATAATAATCTTTTTGAAATTCATGACTAAATTCAGGGCCATGAATTTCAGGAGATTTTGGTCCAATCGCCCAACAATTTTGTTTGCGAGTGTCCTATGCGTCCATAATATTTTTTTTTAATTCATAACTAAATTCAGGGCATGAATTTCAGAAGATTTTGGTCCAATCGCTCAACAATTTTGTTTGGGAGTGTCCTATGCGTCCGTAATGTTTTTTTTTAATTCGTGGATTTGCATTTAACTATTAATTTAAAAAAATGTTGGTCCGATAACGCAAAAATTTGGTTTGGGAGTGTCCTATGCTTCCATAGTAATTTTTTTGAAATTCGTGTCTAAATTCAGAGCCATGAATTTCAAAAAATTTTGGTCCAATCGCTCAAAAATTTTGTTTAGGAGTGTCCTATGCGTCCATAAATTTTTCTTAAATTCATGGCTCTGCATTTAACCAAGAATTTCAAAAAATACTGTTCCGATAACGCAAAAATTTTGTTTAGGAGTGTCCTATGCGTCCATAATATTATTTTTAATTCATGGCTCTGCATTTCACCACGATTTCAAAAAATATTGGTTCGATAGCGCAAAAATTCGGTTTGGGAGTATCCTGTGCGTCCATAATAATTTTTTTGAAATTCATGACGAAATTCAGAGCCATGAATTTCAGAAGATTTGGGTCCAATCGCTGAAATATTTTGTTTATGAGTGTCCAATGCGTCCATAATTATTTTTTTGAAATTTATGACTGAATGGAGGGCCATGAATTTCAGGATATTTTGGTCCAATTGCTCATAAATTTTGTTTGCGAGTGTCCTATGCGTCCATAATATATTTTTTGAATTCATGGCTCTGCATTTAACCATGAATTTCTAAAAAAATTGTTTGGGAGTGTCCTATGCGTCCATAATAATTTTTTTGAAATTCATGACTAAATTCAAGGCCATGAATGTCAGAAGATTTCGGTCCATTAGCTCAAAAATTTGGTTTGGGAGTGTCCTATGCGGCATAATAATTTTTTTGAAATTCATGACTAAATTCAGACCCATGAATTTTAGAAGGTTTTGGTTCAATCGCTCAAAAATATTGTTTGGGAGTGTCCTATGTGTCCATAATATTTTTTTCATTCATGAGTTTGCATTTAACCATGGATTTCAAAAAAATTGTTTGGGAGTGTCCTATGCGTCCATAATAATTTTTTTGAAATTCAAGGTCATGAATTTCAGAAGGTTTTGGTTCAATCGCTCAACAATTTGTTTGCGTCCATAATATTTTTTTTGAAATTCATGACTAAATTCAGGGCCATGAATTCCAGAAGATTTTGGTACAATCTCTCAAAAATGTTGTTTGGGAGTGTCCTATGCGTGGAAAATGGAAAAAAAAGAAAACAAATTTTCGTTGTTTTGTTTTTGATTTATTGTAAAAATTGATCGAATACATTCCTTAACAGTCCTTTAATTACTCTTAACGTGATTTAAGTATATCTTTAAGAAATTCTTCAAAAATTGTTCATAGATTTGGCGCTTGGGTGCCTTCTCTGCTTAGGAGATGAAAGCAGTGCACTATTTTGGGTTTTGGTATATTTTAAAAATGAACAATTAATGATTCACAAAAAATTTAAAAAAGGTTCGCAGTGGCGTAACAAGAAAGGAAGCGTGGTGCAACCGCTTCCGAACGAAGGTGAACGAAGTGTACTATTTTGACGACATTAATACAATGTTACCACACCGTTTTGTATCGATTAATTTCTTAGAATTCTTCAAAAATGTGTATTCGAAGTCATTCAAATTGTAGGGATTGGATCAAAGTTGTAGGTTAGTTCCCTCTGTCTGTTATGTTTTCTTTGTCTTTTGTGTCTTTCCTTTTTTCTATTTCTTATCTGTAATATCTTTCATTTGTTGTCTGCATCTTTGTCTTTCGTATGTTTTTATTCGTCATTGGAGTCTTCTGTGTTTTATGTATCTTCATCTTTAACCTTTCTTTCCTCTAGTATCTTCCATTTTATGACGTCTTGTGTTGCGTTATGCGTTTTATATGTCCTGTGTGTTTTTGCTGATCAAAAATTACTGCACGTTTCTTAAATGTCTCTTTTGTTTACAGATACGTCCTAGTCCCCGAAAAGAACACGTTGCACAACCCCAGTCCTAGATTTCTACCGTTAGATTCGCCCTTCGCAAGATCGCCGAATCCGACCCACCCGCCCCTATTCGCCGCGATCCTGAGAAGGACGACCGGAATTAAAGTCCTAGAGTGCCATGCGTTTATATGCAAACGCGAAGTAGCGGCAAACGCGCTCGTACGTTGTTGTTTTCACGCCTACGCGGATTCCTCGTACGCCAAGCAAGTCGACACGGCCGGTAACCTTTACGGAACACTCAGCTCGGAGAGGATATCGAAAGACAAGGTAACGAACCGCCGCTCATTTGACTCGTTGAGTTAATTGGCGCGTAATTTGAAATGTAAATGCGATGCGAACGAGGTCGAAGTTCGAGTTCAAGTTTAACCGATGATGGTCCCATTCTTCTGTCTGTTTTAGGTGGAGGATTGGAAGATTAATCGTTTCTCGTCCGGCTCGACGATGACCATCAACACGGTCGGAAACGCAAAGGACGACGTCAGCATATATAACGGCGATGAGAATCATAAGGTATGGGCCGGCTCGCAGGATAATTTAGACGGAATTTACGATTTATACTCAACGTCGACCATAAGTAGAACGCCGCGACCGAGACAAATTGCGGCACCGATATCGGTACCGCCACCTCCACACCAGGAAAAGAACAAGAAGCCCAAGAAGAAGAGCTCCCCCAAGGAGGAGATGTACCCGATGGTCAACGGCAGGGCGAATAGCGTTTCGGGTACACTAATGAAACCAAAAAATCACCACCACTACCCCGTCCCCCAACAACCCATCTACGTAATGTCGCACCCTCAGACGTTACCCAACCCCAAATTCATCAAACACCACGGGAACACTTTCTCGCACCGGCCGCGCGGGCGCATGCTGGTACCGGCCCGTCCGATCCCACCCCCTTTCGTTCCCGTCGCCAACGTCATGGTGCCGACCACCCTCACCAAAAACAAGAAGAAGAGCAAGCACCCCGTCGAGGAACCCATCTACTTACCCAGCAACCGCGCGCTATCCCCGGTCTCGAGCTACCAACCCGTAAACTTCCCGCACGAGGCCTACATAATGCACCAATACGCCACCATGGAATCGCCGTCGCGGCACGCGAGACGAAAGGACAAGGGCCACGACCCCCCGCCGCCGCCCCCATCCGCCAAGCTCAACAAGAAGATAGCGCAGAGCATGAACGGTCTCGACGATCCCAACTTGGGCGACGAGAGTCCCTTCAACACCGGCATCTACAGGAAGAAGGGCCACCTGAACGAGCGCGCGTTCTCCTACTCGATCCGGCAGGAGCACCGGTCGCGCAGCTACGGTTCGCTGGCGAATCTGAAGTTCGCGACGCCGATACCGAATGGAGTGCACGAGGTGAGTGGCACCGATTTCTATAACTCGCAGGATGCTCGAAGAATGTCGAGAAAGTTAGATAACACACTTACTTACATAATTCGCCGGCCGACGCAATTAATTTTCTTTTTAATCGACAGCCCGAGGACAGAGAGGACATCAAGAAGGAGCGCGAGATCATGCAGATGGTGCACGATTTGGATCTGTCGGGCGACGAGCTCGAGAGGTCGGAGGTTCCCAGGGGAATGTACGAGGCGAGGACGCCGGGTCCGTCGGTACCTTTAGTGCTAGCGAACGGCAGGGGTTACAAGAGATAAGGTGAGTTAGTGCGCTCCTCCCCTCAGGTTAATCTTTAAATTAGCATGATTTTAAAGTTTGTTTTTGTTATGCGCCATTAATATAACTAAATTTTGCGCTAATTAGCCCCCAATCATGTCACGCTTGGTACAAAACAATGAAAATGCCACAGTTTTGTTTTTAATTTAAAGAAATTTACGAACACAATGTATAATGATTTTACAGAAATTTTCTGACGCACCAAAAAGCCCAAAAATTATGCGCTTTAAGTACCGGTAGTACAAAGCACTGTATAATCATTTTAAGGAAATTTTCGGATCCACCAAGAACCGCAAAAATTATGCGCTCTAAGTACCAGTAGTAGAAAGTAATCATTTAAAGACATTTTCGAACGCACAAAAAAGCGCAAAAATTATGCGCTTTAAGTACCGGTAGTACAAAGCACTGCATAATATTTTAAGGACATTTTCAGACGCACCAAGAACTGCAAAAATTATGCGCCCTAAGTACCAGTAGTAGAAAGTAATCATTTAAAGAAATTTTCGAACGCACAAAAAAGCGCAAAAATTATGCGCTTTAAGCACCGGTAGTACAAAGCACTGTATAATCATTTTAAGGACATTTTCAGACGCACCAAGAACTGCAAAAATTATGCGCCCTAAGTACCAGTAGTAGAAAGTAATAATTTAAAGAAATTTTGGAACGCACCAAAAAGCGCAAAAATTATGCGCTTTAAGCACCGGTAGTACAAAGCGTTGTATAATCATTTTAAGGAAATTTTCGGACCCACCAAGAACTGCAAAAATTATGCGCCCTAAGTACCAGTAGTAGAAAGTAATCATTTAAAGAAATTTTGGAACGCACCAAAAAGCGCAAAAACTATGCGCTTTAAGTACCGGTAGTACCAAGCACTGCATAATCATTTTAAGGAAATTTTCGGACCCACCAAGAACCGAAAAACTATGCGCTCTAAGTACCAATAGTAGAAAGTAATCATTTAAAGAATTTTTCGAACGCACCAAAATGCGCAAAAATTATGCGCTTTAAGTACTGGTAGTACAAAGCACTGTATAATCATTTTAAGGACATTTTCTGACGCACCAAAAACCGCAAAAATTATGCGCCCTAAGTACCAGTAGTAAAAAGTAATCATTTAAAGAAATTTTCGAACGCATCAAAAAGCGCAAAAATTATGCGCCTTAAGCACCAGTAGTACAAAACAGTGAAAACGCAAATAGAATTTTACTTATGAAATACTGAAAACTAATTTATGCGCTAATTAGCCGCTGTATGTGCCATGTGCCACAAAGCCGTTGGAATCCCCACGGTTCTGTGTCAATTTTAAAAATCATTTTATATTAGGTTTGCTTACATCTCAAAGAGCAAGGTAGGTAATATCTTTTTATGCCCATTTGCACATTTACAATTAAATTAGCCGCCGGTATGAGTCATTAATTGATTTAAAAAAGGAATTTACTTAATTATGAACCAATTAGCTACCGATATGCGCAATTGGGTATAAAAATTGTGCGCATTTTGAATATCTTGTAGCCAGTTTGTATTAATTACCTTTACCTTAACCGCAACAGTAATTGGAAGTTAATTTAAGACCAAATTAGCCGCCGATTTATTAATTAGCTTTCTTTGCTTTTAAGCGCAAGCGGACGTGACTTTTGCTTATGCGCTTAATTAATACTTAAAACTAAATTAGGCGCAAATGAACCGCTGATATCTTTCGATCTGTATTTATTCTATCGACCTAGAGCTGAAGAGCGCCAAAATTATGCGCAACTTAAATCGCGTGGGAATACTTTGTACTAATTAGATCGTAAGTAGATTTTCTTGACCCTTAAATGTACGTGCAATTGGAATTCTTCATAAGAAGTATTTAAAACTAAACTATGTGCCAATTAGCCTTCGGTTTGTGTCATTTAAAACAAGCAAGTGCGCCTAATTTTTGTTTATTCGCAATTGGAAGAGAGAAAAAAGTAAATTTTGCGCTAATTAGGCGCCGGTGTATGTGTCATTTGGAGCAATACAACTAAATTATACGCTAATTAGTTCATAATTTGTCAGTTTCGCCCCAAAAATATGTTTTTAAATATGCGCTTGTGAGTAAATTTTGCGCTAATTAGCCTCTAGTTCTGTATAAAGTTTAGAATCCAGAGCTGGAAAGCTAGAAACCTAAATTATGCGCCGATTTGTGGCATTTAGAACCGAATAGTAAAAATGTACGCCCTCAAAGCTGGATAGCGCAAAAATTATGCGCTTTTTTGTGTCTTAAGCACAATGAGATCTAATTAAGCGTTAATTGGGATGTGATTTCGTACAAAAAAATGATCTGCGTATATTTCAAATAAATTTACGATCTAAGTGCTCAAAATCAGAAAAATACTGAGAACTAAATTTTGCGCTAATTAGCCGCCGTATATCCGTGCGGTACAAAGCAACCGGAATGACATATTATTGTCACGATTCTGTATTTATTTTAAAGAGGAGGACTATTGGTGGTAGAAATTAATACCATGAAGGATAAAACCAGTTCCACTGCCTCCTCCAACCCCCTCTTTTAATAAAGGGTAAGAAAGTCAGCAGTAGTTGGTATAGAAAACAGTTCCTTTCGTTGAGACATTTAATTAGAATACCATGAAAGATAAAATTAACTAACTTAGACCCCCCCCCCCCCATGAATAAGTCTGAGATGCTATTTTTGAAAGTAAAACGTGCATAACTTTTACCGATTGGTCGCAGATTTTGCATACGCATGTCTTTTATTAGTGATAAATAACGGGGGGGGGGGCATACGTTTAATCCTTCATAGTATTCTAATGAAAGGTCTCAACCAATGGAATTAATTTCTACCAACCATAGTCCATATCTCAAGAACAGATTGGAACGTCTGGAAGAAATACATCCATTGGTGATGTCATAACTTTAAAAGCGAATACTTATCTCGAAACCGGAGGAAAGTACTCTAAGGGGCAAAATAAATCGTCTGGAGGAGATATATTTATTGGTGAAGTCGAAGCGAATATCTTAATTTTTAATGTAAACAATTCAAATTCAAACGATTTTTTAAAAATCCCCAGATTTTATAAAATTTTCGCGTGTTCGAATTATGAAATCTCAAAAAATCGAACACAAATGGTACATTAAAAAAAATTTAAAATTAATCTAACAGGCCAAATTCGAAGAACTGAAAATATACAGTGTGTAACAAATAATTATTGTACCCAGTGACCCAATAAGACTGTTCCTCGGCCATATCTCGAGGACCGTTCGTCATATGACTTAGGGGTAAAAAAAATTATTGGGTAAATCGGTCATGAAGAATCGCTGGAAATATTTTCAAGTTCGAAAAATGACCAACAGAGGGCGTAACTGCCATCTTAAATTTTAAAATTGCATTTTCTTTAAATTTCGCATAATAAACTAAACATTCTTTTTTCACATTTTTAAAGAGAACCAGTTTATCTATCATTTTCGTAAAAACAAAAACTCAATTATTTAAAAAACAAAGATGGCGTGGTGCGTTCAATTGTTTTTGCAATAACCTGCTTTAACTTCTTAACCGTTTGACCGATTTTAACAAATTTGGTATGGTTGAAAAGAGCATTCCTTGGGCAATATGAATCAACCAAATCAACCAATATAGTTAATTTAGTTGAATCCTTCTCCGCCAGGGGGCTAGTTTTGACACTATGACCCAAAATCCTAAAAAAATCAAAAAATCAAATGGATTGATATGACTTTTTCTTTATGAAAAAGTAGCCAAATAACATCCAAAGAGGCCAGTGAAAATCGTTTTTCAAAATCTCGTCCCTAACCTCAAATATTGAGAAATTGAGATTCATTTAATTAATAAAAATGCTTAAATTGTATTTTAAATTTACTTTTTACGTATTTTCGGTATTTGTCGAAAGCGCGAAAGAAAAGCACCCTACACTAGTTAGATAGGCCTTGGAAAATTAAACAAATGAAACACGACGCATTATAAAATAATAACAGCCGTAATTTGTAAATTATTCTGCTGTGTTTACATTCAGAAAGTGCAGTTTTTTGAATTTGTAATCTTTTCTAAAATACTGATTTCCAACCAAGAAGCATTTAATATGCAATATAATATACAAAGAAGCAAAACTTTTCGAATAAAGTCAGGGTCCAAAATGTTGCCTTTTAAAATCTATCGAAAATTTCGAAACTTCTTATTACTGTTCTTGGAACATTCCAAAAAGGAATACAAGAAATTATCTTCCAAAACAAAAAAAAAATTTTTAAATATGTAAACACTAAAGGACTAAAGAATACATAAAAATACAGCAAATTTGAAAAACCCCAAAATTGGTACAACTTTTTCAAATTTCGAAGTTTTAAAAATTCCGCAAAAATGTACAACATTCAGAGAACTATTAAATTAGACGTAAACAAAAAATTGTTGTTGTCGAATTTTGATTTTTTTGCCATATTTTGAAATAGCTTTTAACTTTTGTTGAAATTGACTGCAGGATACGAAAAGACAATTAGCATAAAGGACGTTTTAAGAGGTATCCTTCGCCTTGACTAGAATTTGTCGGATTTCCCCGCGATTGCAATCTGCCATAGAACAAGTGGAAGAACGCTATATAGACAATAGTAAAATTTTACCCATTTGCATAAAATTAAACTACTTCTTCTTTGTTTTAACCATAAAACTAACTGTACAGCAGCTTTACATAGTGGAATTGTTAAATTGCGAATATTAAAAAAAAATGCGTGCGAAGGTCGCCGACCCCAAACCAATTAACGATATCGATAAAAAAAAGTGTGTGAAAGTTTTAACGTTTTTTTTTCTTTCTGTTTCAGAGGACCCATTTGGGTAACGGATACATTATTGCGGCACAACCATATTATTTAAAGTTGGTCAGGAATTCACGTGTATTATGTAAATAATTTCAGGTCAACCTGAAAATGGCCTACAAAACAGTTTTGGCGCGCCCGTTATATTAAATGACAGAAAATTCCACATCACCTTGTACAGTATAGTATAGGTAAGGAGAATGATATACGTACTTTATCGTTTAAGAACTGAAACATAGTTTTATTTTGTATTGTACCTCCATTGCTCAAGAAATGATATTTTAGGTTTTGGTTTAAAAATGGGGAAATGTTCAATATGTATTTTATTATTTACCTACTTCATTAATTTACCTACCAAATATGTTATATTTCCTGTATTTAGTTAATTTTATTCGTTTGCTTGTTAATTTAGTGCCATTAAAACTTTTATGGATATGTTCATAATCTTTTAAATTAGATTATTACTACTAATACTCATTGTACAGCTATTATTAATAAAGTATGTGTTAAACTATGTTGTTTTCTTATAGTATGTTAACAATTTGTTGGTCAAGGTCATAGCGGGTAAAGATAATAATAATAATTACCCGAGATATTCAATGGTACTTATCAGATGACCACTTTGAGAGTAGTCAATTGACATCAGCAGAAATTTCTGTTCTTTTCATGTGGGGAGCCTGACCAGACAGCATTAGGCACACCAAATATCCATTGTGCCTATCCTGCTCTTTCTTGCACAACTAGGATCAGAGCCTGTTTCTCTCGATAAAAGATAGGACCCTGTTCATAGCCTAAGATGCTTCATCCTCCCCAGTTCCAGGTAACTGTTGCCAAAGCGAGCTGATATGTCTGTCTCTAAGCAAGGCGTCACAGGGACAGATCATATGCTCAGTAGTTTCATCCCCAGATTTGCCAAGGGGCCCTGAACTGTCTGAGTCAGGTTGCTTGTTACCACTGAAGCTGGAATTTACTGGGCACTTAGTCTTTAACCCTGGCCCTAACAATAGAGGGAGCAATTTCCAATTCCCGATAAATGTCCCACCACTGCGAGCCAGATCGTCCGCCTTTTCATTGCCCCCTATTCCGCAGTGCGCTGGCACCAAGACCAAGCTTAGCCTATTAGACCCACCTATAATCACTGGATAATTCAATCAACCGCCGTAGCCAATGAGAAGGGAACATGCGATCTGAGCTCAGTGACTGCTCCCTCTCTGGGAGAGTGATTTTATAACTCTTTGGTCTTAGTAAGTTAACCCGGATCACATCCCTTTTTACGAGGAAGAAATCGGATCTGAGGCCCTGAGGGTTTCCTCCCAGATCCGCCCGTGCCCAAGGTTGCCTTGTTCCTTCCCCTCGTCCCAATCGTTCAGCCGTACGAAAGCCTTTCGAGCCTCTGTCCCTATAACTATAAGTGTAAAGGCTCGAGTACCAGAAGTGCTCGCAGGGTTGCCAGGATGTGCGTGCGGTTCGAAAGCGACTGCTCATCAGACACTCTCCAAATACTGAACAGGAGCGAGAAACTCATCAACTCGGCTGTCCCTTTTATAATAAGAAGAGTCCTTCCTACTCCACCTTGGCCCAGACCTCTTACTCATCCCCTGTAAACCCAAAGTTCTTGTATGACTTACAACATGTTGACGGTCTATTAAACAGGGCGCGCCCTTACCTGCAAATTGCTCTGTACTCCATGTACTAGGTTCCCCTTCCCCCCAGTGATACCGACGGTCCCGACCCCTGGCCGGAGCCAAGAATCTCCAAGTCGCCATCTTTCTCGACCTATAAGGGATTGCGCTCACTCCGTCACCACGAAACTGGGTCCCGCTGCTCCGTCGGACATGCGAGACTCTCCCACGTGCGCTTGTAAGCTCTGCCGCTGGAATGCCCGAAAGATGCCTAATCGACATCAAATGCGAGGCGGACTCTTTCTGAATATCCTTGAATCTTCTTGAATTTTCTTGAATCCTCTTAAGTCCTCTTGAGTCCGCTTAAATCCTCTTGAATTCTCGTGAGTCTTGAATCTTAAATCTTGGAACTTGAATCTTGGAATTTAAATCTTGAATCGTGAATTTTGAATACTGAATCTTAAATCTTGAATTCTAAATCCTGAATACCGAATCCTGAATCGTGTATCCTGGATCCCGAACTCCGAATCCCGAATACTGAATTCTGAATATGAATCCGGAATCATGAATCTTGAAACTTCGTGAACCTTCTTGAATCTTCTAGAATTTTCCTGAATCTTCTTGAATTTTCTTGAATCCCTTTGAATCCTCTTAAGTCCTTTTGAGTCCGCTAAATCCTCTTGAATTCTCGCGAGTCTTGAATCTTAAATCTTGGAACTTGAATTTTGAATTTTTAATCCTGAATCTTAAATCTTGAATCCTAAATCCTGAACCCTGAATACTGAATCGTGTATCCTGAATCCCGAACCCTCAATCCCGAATACTGAATCCTGATTCCGGAATCATGAATCTTGAAACTTCTTGAATCTTCTAGAATTTTCTTGAATCTTCTCGAACCTTCTTGAATCTTCTTGAAACTTCTTGAAACTTCTTGAACCTTCTGGAATCTTCTTGAATCTTCTTTAATCTTCTGGAATTTTCTGGAATCTTCTTGAATCTTCTTGAATTTTCTTGAATCCCCTTGAATCCTCTAATCCTTTGAATCTTCTTGAGTCTGCTTGAGTCCTTTTGAGTCTTCTTGAGTCCGCTTAAATCCTCTTGAATTCTCGCGAGTCTTGAATATTAAATCTTGGAACTTGAATTTTGAATTTTTAATCCTGAATCTTAAATCTTGAATCCTAAATCCTGAACCTGAATACTGAATCCTGAATCGTGTATCCTGAATCCCGAACCCTCAATCCCGAATACTGAATCCTGATTCCGGAATCATGAATCTTGAAACTTCTTGAATCTTCTAGAATTTTCTTGAATCTTCTCGAACCTTCTTGAATCTTCTTGAAACTTCTTGAACCTTCTGGAATCTTCTTGAATCTTCTTTAATCTTCTGGAATTTTCTGGAATCTTCTTGAATCTTCTTGAATTTTCTTGAATCTCCTTGAATCCTCTAATCCTTTGAATCTTCTTGAGTCTGCTTGAGTCCTTTTGAGTCCTCTTGAGTCCGCTTAAATCCTCTTGAATTCTCGTGAGTTTTGAATCTTAAATCTTGGAACTTGAATCTTGGAACTTAACTCTTGAATCGTGAATTTTGAATCCTGAATCTTAAATCCTGAATTCTAAATCCTGAACCCTGAATCCTGAATCGTGTATCCTGAATCCCGAACTCCAAATCCCGAATACTGAATTCTGAATATGAATCCGGAATCATGAACCTTGAAACTTCGTGAACCTTCTTGAATCTTCTTGAATCTTCTAGAATTTTCGTGAACCTTCTTGAATCCCCTTGAATCCTCTCGAATCCTTTGAATCCTCTTGAATCCTCTTGAGTCCTTTTGAATTCTCTTGGGTCCTCTTGAGTCCGTTTAAATCCTCTTGAATTCTCGTGAGTCTTGAATTTTAAATCTTGGAACTTAAAATCTTGAATCCCAAATCTTTAATCTTGAAACTTGAACACTGAATCCTGAATCTTGGTTCGTGAATCTTGATTCGTGAATCTCTTGAATCCTTTGAATTTTCTTGAATCCTCTTGAATACTCGGTAATCCTATAGGATCCTCTTGAATCCCTGAATTTTGAATACTGAACCTTGAGTCCTGTATGTTGAATCCTGAATCTTGATTCGTGAGCCTTGAATCTTAAATGCTGAAACTTGAATCTTGGAACTTAAATCTTGAATCGTGAATTTTGAATCTTGAATCCTGAGCACTGAATCCTGAATACTGAATCCTGAATCGGGTATCCTGAATCCCGAATACTGAATCCTGATTACTGAATATTGAATCCGGAATCCTGAATCTTGAATTTTGAAACCTGAATTTTGAATATTGAATGTAGCAACTTGAATTTTGCATCTTAGAATTTGAATCTTGAATCATTAATCTTTAATTTTGTATCTTGAATTTTAAATGTTGAATCTTGAATCCTAAGTCTTGAACTTGAATCTTGGAACTTGAAATTTAGGTTTTGAATCTTAAATCCTGAATCTTGATCTTGATTCTTGAATCTGGATTCGTGAATCTTAAGTTTAGTAACTAGAATCTTAAATCTTATAATTAACTTAAGTCTTTAATCGTGACTCTTTGGTTCGTAAATATTCAATCTTGGTTCAAGAACCTTTGAATCTTAAATTTTCTTGAATTTTCGTGAATTTTCGTGAATTTTCTTTTAGAATCTTCATGTATCTCCCTGAATCTGAATCTTACCAAATCTTCTTGAATCTTCCTGAATCTTAAACCGTTACGAATCTTCCTCAATTTTCCCGAATCCTTCTGAATTGTACTGAATCTCTTGCATCTTCCTTAATCTTCTTAAATCTTGAATCCTGAATCCTAAATCTTGAATTTTGAATACTGAAATCTGAATCTTGAATTTTGATTCGTGAATCTTGATTCGTTGAATCTTAAATCTTACGATTATCTTAAGTCTTTAATCTTGACCCTTTGGATCAATCTTGGTTCGTGAACCTTGAATGGTACATATCTTGCGCCTTCTTCTTGAATCTTAATTTTTTTGAATTTCCTTGAATCTGAATAACTGAATCTTTTGAATATCCTGCAATTTCTTTAACCTTCTTAAATCTTGAATCCTGAATTTTGAATACTGAATCCTGAATCTTGAATCTTAAATTTTGAATACTGAATCCTAAATCTGGAATTTTGATCGTGATTATTGATTTGTGAATCTTGATTCGGCAGTCTTGATTCGTCAGTCTTGATTCGTGAATCTTTGTTCGTCAGTCTTGATTCGTGAATCTTGATTCGTCAGTCTTGATTCGTGAATCTTGAATTTTGACTGGTGACTCTAGAACTTTAATTCGTGAATTTTCAATCTCGATCAGTCATTCTAGAATCTTGAATCCAGAACCTCGAACCTTGGAACTTGAATTTTAAATCTTAAATCTTGATTCGTGATCTTGGGAATTAAACCTTGAAAGTTGAATTTTGCAAATCCAACCTTGATTCTTGAAAGTGTAATCGTGCATTTTTAATCCTGAACCTTGAATCTTGAGTCCGGAATATTGAATCCTGAATATTGGATCCTGTATTTTGAATCTTGAATCCTGAATCCTGAATCTTGAATCCTCAATCTTGAATCCTGAATCTTGAATCCTGAATCTTGAATCCTGAATCTTGAATCTTGAATCCTGAATCTTGAATCCTGAATCTTGAATCCTGAATCTTGAATCTTGAATCCTGAATCTTGAATCCTGAATCTTGAATCCTGAATCTTGAATCCTGAATCTTGAATCCTGAATCTTGAATCCTGAATCTTGAATCCTGAATCTTGAATCCTGAATCTTGAATCCTGAATCTTGAATCCTGAATCTTGAATCCTGAATCTTGAATCCTGAATCTTGAATCCTGAATCTTGAATCCTGAATCTTGAATCCTGAATCCTGAATCTTGAATCCTGAATCTTGAATCCTGAATCTTGAATCGTGAATCTTGAATCCTGAATCTTGAATCGTGAATCTTGAATCCTGAATCTTGAATCTTGAATCCTAAATCCTGAATCTTGAATCCTGAATCTTGAATCTTGAATCCTGAATCCTAAATCCTGAATCCTGAATCCTGAATCTTGAATCCTGAATCTTGAATCCTGAATCTTGAATCCTGAATCTTGAATCCTGAATCTTGAATCCTGAATCTTGAATCCTGAATCTTGAATCCTGGATCTTGAATCCTGAATCTTGAGTCCTGAATCTTGAAACCCGAATCTTGAATCCCGAATTTTGAATTCTGAATCTAAAAATTCTGAATCTTGAATTCTGAATGTTGAATTCTGGACACGAATACCAAATTTAACATGAGAACTCTAATCCTGTGTCGTAGATCGTCGTTGACTCTGCACCTACAGTTGGTGGGCATTTTTTTAGGTTTATTGAAAGCTTAGGGTAAGGATTCGATAATCGCACATCTGGGACTTCGTAAAACGATAAAAAAAACCTTCCATCAATCATCGAATAGACATCACCGAATACGGTGTTTGTCGTGTATCTCTTTTTAGCTGTAAGATGGGTTGCCTAACCGTCGGGGTAGGTCATAGAATTTTTAACGTTTCTGATACAAACTTGGAATTGTAGATAAAAATGTTGAGTTTATTTCGATGTATCTATATAGCTAATTGCGTTATTGTAAGAATACTACACGTAATTTAATACTGTTTCATTAGATTAACAAGACGATCGTATAAAAGAATTTTCGAATCGATGCTCCACATGAAATCGATGTGATTGAAATTGTGGTACGGAACCTTAAATAGTCCAACGACGTTCGGCAATCTTTTGGCAAGAAGTTCATTGTCCTGCAAATAGTTCCTGTGTGTAACTCGAAAGCGACATCTACCAGACTATAGGCGTACTTACTTCTTTGGAAATCAAAGCGTCACCATCCGCGTAGTAGAGGGCGACAGGTGCCGTTACCATTTTCATGTCGTACTCCTCACTGGTATCGCCAGAAATGGGACCGAATCTACCTAATCGCACGATTTAAGACGAAAATATATGTAACTGGGATTACTCACGCGCCGCGAAGATGTCGTACAGGTGAGTCATCACGTTGAAGCTACTCCCCGACGGGTAGTAATTGAGCGCCTCTGGAAATAACGTCTGAATGAGACCGAAACTTTGTAAATGCAACGAGAAATAAATCAACTCACATAATTGAACTGCTCGTTGTTCCGTCCGACCACGGCGAATACCATACTCACGCAAAGCGAACGGGTTATCGCGCCCTTGCGACACAAGACCTGCCCCACCACCGACAGAATGCCACCTCGCGGGAATAACTCGTAAATTCCGTTTTCAGTTACCGCCCTCTGTAGACGAACTTAAGGTCGCGTTTCTACCGAAATCAACTTACCGATAGCAGCGGCACCAGTGACAGCAAAATTTGGGTGAGCGGAGTGACCGGTCGCGTGACGTATGCGGCGGCGGCGAGTGTGGTCGCGAGTCGCACCTTTTTATTGTACTCCGGCTTCAAGGAGCACATGATGAAGAAGGCGGACGCGCCGATCGAGTGCCCGATGAAGAACAGCGAGTTTTGCTTCGTGACCTTTAAGGCGTAGTCGACCGACGCGGGAAGGTCAAATACGCCGTGCTCGTGTATGCTGAAAGGTTAACTTCGGTTACGTTCGGACTGGCGGAACGCGACCTACCTGTAATTCCAAAAGTGCGCGTCGGTATCCGGATCGAGTGACCTGTGTTTTCTCGAAAAGAAGTTGCCTCTAGGATTACAAATCCATACGTCAAATCCGTTGTCGGCGAAGACATAGGCTGTAAAAACCTCGTTAATGAAATTGGGACGGTGAGGGGGGGGGGGGGTATACGTACGTAGATCTTTGTCGGCGCCGCGAAACAGCCACGTTTCCGACGACGCGAGCAGACCAGGGAAAAGTAGTAACACTCCACCGCCGTTGGGTTTGGTCTTCATCTTCTTTCCGCCGGAAATTCTATGCAGCGTAAGTATGTATCCATCTTCCGTCGTAACTTGATGCGACTCGCATAGAAAACCGAAACGGGAGGCTAGGGCTTCCTTTAACAGAGATTAATATTAGTAATTTTATACGTGTACCGCTTCATAGTGATAAAGAACGGAACTAAAATGCAATAGAATGAAGCGCTTTCAGATAAGAAGCGAGTGTAGAAGTAGATCAGACTCAAATCGCCACGGTGTTGCCGGTTCTAAACATCGTTCTTACGGAGCATGAGGGACGAATTTTCTACTATACCCTTATACATGTATAAAAAACGGGGGCGAAGTTTGGTTTGCGTCGGGTCCGTTTCAGTTTCCTGACTTCGCGACTATTTTAGGAAAAATTGGGTGGGAGAGAGAAATTCTTCGCTGAACTACAGACAGCCGCGTAATCGTACGTGAGATTTTTATTGCAAAAGTTGAAATGAATTGCCGCATTACAAAAGAAAACTGTGCCGCCAATTTGATGAAATTGTTGTCGTGTGTGCTTTTACATTCTTTGCGAGTTTCCATTTCGACCAAAACTAATATAAAGTGGCCTATTGATGCAAAAGGGGAACTTCGTTGTGTAGAGGTTGGCTGATTTATTTTCAACCGCGAATGTGCTGCATTCTTAATACGCGAGTGAACATTTTCTTTTGGGTTCCATCATTTGATCAACGTGATTGCGCTTAATTAGTTATGTAAGGCCGAACCTGGCTCAGTTTAAGGTTGCTCGCCATCTGGTGGTGACTTTAGAAAGTAGGTCAAGGTGAAGTTTAAAGTCGCGTGCCACGTGACGGTAAAGATGCTGCTCAATGGCATTCGCTTTCAAGGTTATCAGAGGTCAATGACTTTATTTTAGTGTCACCATATTTCACTTTCACGGTTACCAAAGGTCAACGACCCCATTTTTGTGAGGTGCCACATGACATAGGTCAATGTGAAGTTTAAAGATCGTTCGGCGGTGTACTTGGGAAGTAGGTCAAGGTAAAATACAGAGACCCGTTCGATCATTCACCGCTAATAATTTCCCCCTCTAGGTTGCCAAGTGATAATTTCGGATTGACCCCTAACCCTCTCCCTCTCTCCAAGACTATTAATGCGAGATGTAGATTCAAAACCTCGTTTTCCCGTCTGCCCCGGAAAATGCGTGCGATATTTACCCTTCGAATAATAAACGTGGAAAGTTGTCCTTCGCACTGTGAACTTCACTCTTTCGTAACCTTTATCTACTTTTATTGTGCTGAGCACTCATAACCAAAGCAAGTGATAGCCAGGTAGGGATACTCTAAAATAAACTCGATGTATAATTTCAGAAGGCTAAATTCGGGTGCCATCAAAGTTATCTAGATCTTCTCCCGACGAGGAATCTCAAAGGTTGCTCACCGTTCAAAGTTCAAAAGTTGCTCGTCGTTCAAACTTCAAAGGTTGGTCACCGTTCAAAGTTCAAAGTTTACTCGCCGCTCAAAGTCAAAATAATTCTAGTGCAAACCTAAAGCAATTCTGTCATTCTATTCAGTACAAAAGATACCTACCCAAAATGCCTTTAAAAGTAGAACCCGAGAAAGGTCTAATTATTCCAGTGCCCGAGTTCAAAAGGATTAGGAAATTTCAAAACGAATTCCGAGATGAGTGGGTTCAGAGACGTTGATAAATCTTTACAAAAAATGGCCACAGCAGGGCAGGTTGATTTGAGGTATCTGGCAAATAGGCAATTTCTGACGATTTCATTGGTTACCAGAAGTTCGCTGATTGGTAGGTAGAATAGATTCGAACCGTCGACGGGCGTAGTTTCAAAAAAATGGGGGGAATTGGTTGGTACAGGAGTAACCGTGGGGCATTACGCGTGAAACCGCGATAAAAATATGCTGAACTCTCGTCGCGTCGCGCGGTTGAAAAAAGTCTAATGCAATCAACCGAAACACTGTGCTGAGTTGAAATCTTTGATGAAAAAGTTCAGTTTAATTCGGATCGTACTGCAAGAAGTCAGGTTAATCGTCCTGTAAAGTGCACGGGGAGTTTTTTTGGATCGTGAAAGAATTTACGTGCATATAAAAAAAGGGTTTGCTAGAGTTTTTTTTCGTTAAAATGTGCATAATCAAATTTCTTGGTGGCTTTCCTGCGAGGAACAAATTGGACATAACTATTAATATTTCGTAGGAGAGAATTTTAAACGACTTTAATGCGAAAAAGGCGGTCGATGTGGAAAAAGCAGTCGTTACGAAAAAGGGGACCGATGGAATATGCGACAGGTGTCCCTTCCCCTCTCGGGTGTACAAGACGGTCGACACGAAAAAGGTCGCCTATGCCAATCGGCGGTTGATGCGGAAAAGGCGGTCCATACAAAAAAGCCGGTCCAAGGAAGATGCGACAGGTACCCCCCCCCCTCACGGGTGTAAGAGGTGATCGATAGGAAAACGCGGTCGACACAAAAAAAGACGTCCCACAGAAGATGCGAGAGGTTTCCCTTCCCCTCTCAGGAGTACAAGGCGGTCGATACGAAAAAGGCTGTCGTCATGAAAAAGGCCGCCTATGCAAATGGTGTCCCTTCCGTTCTCGGGTGGTCTACCTACCAATCAGCGAACTTCTGGTAACCAATGAGATCATCAGAAATTGTCTAATTGCCAGATACCTCAAATCATCATGCCCTGCTCACTGCTGTGGCCAATTTTTTGTAAAGATTTTCATTCAATACCAACGTCTCTGAACCCAATGGAAACTCATCTTTGAATTCGTTTTGAAATTTCCGAATTTCTTTTGAGCTCGGGCTCTGGAATAATTAGAACTTTCTCGGGATGCACTTTTAAAGGCATTTTGAATACATTTGGAATGATGTTTTGAGTTCATAAATCACATTGGAGGGCGTTTTGGGTATTTTTTGTACTGAATTAGAATGTTGCAGAACTCCTTTAGGTTTGCACTTTTGACTTTGAACGGCGACCAACCATTGAACTTTGAACGACGAGCAATTTTTGAACTTTGAACGGTGAGCAACCTTTGAACTTCCTTGTCGGGAGAAGATCTAGATAACCGTCACGTGACACGCGACTTTAAACTACATTTTGACCTACTTTAGAAAGTACTTAGAAGACATTAGAAGACTTTAGAGTCAACACCATGTGGCAAACAACCTTAAACTGAGCCAGGTTCGGCCTTACATACTAATTAAGCGCGATCACGCTGACCAAATGATGGAACCCAAAAGAAAATGTTCGCTCGCGTATTAAGAATGAAGCACATCCGCGGTTGAAAATAAATCAGTTAACCTGTCGATTCCTTTACAGTTTACACAACGCAGTTTTCGTTCCTCTTTTGCATCAATAGGCCACTTTATATTAGTTTTGTTCTTAATGTCAACTCGCAAAGAATTTAACAGCACACACGACAACAATTTCATCAAATTGACGGCACAGTTTTCTTTTGTAATGTGGCAATTAATTTCAACTTTTGCAATAAAAATCTCAAGTACGATTACGCGGCTGTTTACATATTCCGTCTACCTCGATTACACGAATTCGTCTTGAAACTTTCAAATGTTGCGCGATTTAAAATGGCGCGCTCGACTTACATACCCCGCGTAAGGTATTGAAGGTTCAGCAAAGAATTTCTCCCTCCCACCCAATTGATCTTCCCCCTCTCGGGTGTACAAAGGCAGACGATACGGAAAAACGCTCGATACGAAAAAGGCGGCACATGGAAGGTGCAAATGGCGTCCCTTCCGTGTACAAGGCGGTCGATACGAATAAGGTGGTCGGTACGGAAAATGCTGTCGATATGAAAAAGGCGGCCTCTGGATGATGCGAGAGGTGTTCCTTCCCCTCTCAGGTGTACAAGGCGGTCTACGCTAATCGGCGGTTGACGCGGAAAAGGCGGTTCATACGAAAATGTCGGTCCATGGAAGATGCGAAAGGTGTACAATGCGGTCGATCTTTATTTTGCCTAGGTTTTTACTTTCACTTTTGCATATTTTCAGCATTCGTTCGGCGTTAAAATAGGGTTGTTATTAACCTACCACCAAAAAGTAACTTATTCTTTGCTACCACGCAAAAGTGAAACCGAGCCGTAGGCGAGTTCGGCACATACCTAGGAAGTTTAAAGGTATAGGTGGTAAGCCCGATCTATTCTGCCTAGGTTTTTGTGCTTTTACGATCACGGGCCCGAAGCGAGTTTGGAACAAACCTAGGTAGTTTAAAGGTGTAGGTGGAGTGTCCGATCTTCATTCTGCCTAGGTTTGTACTGAACTCGTCTTCGGCTCGCTCAGCACTTTTGTTAAGATCACGAGCCGAAGGCGAGTTCGGCACAAACCTAGGCAGTTTAAATGTATAGCTGGGAAGTCTGATCTCTATTCTGCCTAGGTTATAATGCTTTTAAGATCACGAGCCGGAAGCGAGTTTGAAACAAACCTGGGTATTTGAAGGGTGTAGGTGGAGTGTCTGATCTCCATTATGCCTAAGCTTGTGCTGAACTCGCCGTCGGCTCGCTCAGCACCGCTTTTATGACCACTAGTTGGAGGCGAGTTCGTAACAAACCTAGGCAGTTCAAAGGTATAGGTGGTAAGTCCGATCTCTATTCTGCCTAGGATATACAGCTTTTGCGATCACGAGCCGGAAGCGAGTTTGGAACAAACCTAGGCAATTTAAAGGTGGAGGTGGAGTGTCCGATCTATATTTTTCCTAGGTTTGTACTGAACTCGCCTACAGTTCACTCAGCACTGCTTTTACGATCACGAGCCGAAGGCGAGTTCGGCACAAACCTAGGCAGTTCAAATATATAGGTGGTAAGTCCGATCTCTATTTTGCCTAGGTTATACTGCTTTTGCGATCCCGATCCCGAAGCGAGTTTGGAACAAACCTAGGTAGTTTAAAGGTGGAGGTGGAGTGTCCGATCTCCATTTTACCTAGGTTTGTACTGTACTCTCCTTTGGCTCGCTCAGCACTGTTTTTACAATCATAAGCCGAAAGCGAGTTCGGAACAAACCTAGGTAGTTTAAAGGTGTAGGTTGCCGATCTATATTTTTCCTAGGTTTGTACTGAACTCGCCTACGGCTCACTCAGCACTGCCTTTACGATCACGAGCCGGAGGCGAGTTCGGCACAAACCTAGGCAGTTCAAAGGTATAGGTGGTAAGTCCGATCTCTATTTTGCCTAGGTTATACTGGTTTTGCGATCCCGATCCCGAAGCGAGTTTGGAACAAACCTAGGTAGTTTAAAGGTGGAGGTGGAGTGTCCGATCTCCATTTTACCTAGGTTTGTACTGTACTCTCCTTCGGCTCGCTCAGCACTGTTTTTACAATCATAAGCCGAAAGCGAGTTCGGAACAAACCTAGGTAGTTTAAAGGTGTAGGTTGCTGATCTATATTTTTCCTAGGTTTGTACTGAACTCGCCTACGGCTCCCTCAGCACTGCCTTTACGATCACGAGCCGAAGGCGAGTTCGGCACAAACCTAGGCAGTTCAAAGGTATAGGTGGTAAGTCCGATCTCTATTCTGCCTAGGACATACTGCTTTTGCGATCACGAGCCGGAAGCGAGTTCGGAACAAACCTAGGTAGTTTAAAGGTGTAGGTGGCTGATCTATATTTTTCCTAGGTTTGTACTGAACTCGCCTACGGCTCACTCAGCACTGCCTTTACGATCACGAGCCGAAGGCGAGTTCGGCACAAACCTAGGCAGTTCAAAGGTATAGGTGGTAAGTCCGATCTCTATTCTGCCTAGGATATACTGCGTTTGCGATCACGAGCCGGAAGCGAATTTGGAACAAACCTAGGCAATTTAAAGGTGTAGGTGGAGTGTCCGATCTATATTTTTCCTAGGTTTGTACTGAACTCGCCTACAGTTCACTCAGCACTGCTTTTACGATCACGAGCCGAAGGCGAGTTCGGCACAAGCCTAGGCAGTTCAAAGGTATAGGTGGTAAGTCCGATCTCTATTTTGCCTATGTTATACTGCTTTTGCGATCCCGATCCCGAAGCGAGTTTGGAACAAACCTTGGTAGTTTAAAGGTGGAGGTGGAGTGTCCGATCTCCATTCTGCCTAGGTTAGTATTAAACTCGCCTTCGGCTCGCTCAGCACTGCTTTTACGACCACGAGCCGGAAGCGAGTTTGAAACAAACCTAGGCAGAAAAATGGTCTGGTGTGATAAGTCAGAGTGTCGAGAAAAAGAAATCGGTGGAAAATCCTGGACCTCGCCTTTTTTTAGCGCATTTTTTAAAAATTAAAAAAAAATGTGCTATTGTTTGCGTCTGTTCCGTCCGTCTGTTCTGCCATTTTGAACTACTTCTAGGAGAATGGTCCTAGAGTCCTGGAATTTTTTGCAGTAGGTAGCCTATACCTTGAAGGTGTGCCAGACGGCCATCAAATTTCGGTCTAAAAGGGGGGCCCCCTCACGAATTGTGAGATGCTATTTTTGAAAGTAAAACGTGCATAACTTTTACATACGACAACCAATTTGGTCTCAGTGTCAGTCTCAGTTAAACTTTTGTAAATTGGGGGGGAGGGGAGGGTAAACACATGTTCTACCCTTCATGGTATTCTAATGGAAGGTCTCATCGAAATAAATTGGGATCTACAAACTATAACTTTTCCGTGCGACTGTTTTTCGAGATAAGTGAGCGAGGGAGCCTGAGGGGGGGGGGGGTTAAAAATTAATTTAATCTCTCATTGTATTCTAATTAAAGGTCTCAACGAAAGGAACCGTTTTCTACCAACTACTGCCCTTGTTTCTGTCTTATCAAAGTACGGGGTGGAGGGTGAGGCGGAGGGGGTGAGTGGGACTAGTTTTATCCTTCATGGTACTCTAATGAAAGGTCTCAACGAAAGGAAGTAATTTCTATCAACCATAGCCCTCGTCCTCGACCTCTTATCGTGATCGGGTATAGTCCCTTATACCTCAACAACGGATTGTCGGAAGAGGGTACTCTCAAAGGGCGATTGAGGCGTTTGCAAGAAGTATATCCATTGGTGATGTCAAAACAAAAGCTATTTCGGTTAAAAAAATGCGCTTTCTCTGCCCAAGAGTTGTGCACAATTTACACTTGTTCACTCCCGTTTAGGGAGGCAGGACCGTACCACCCTTTTTGATGTGTCTGAACAAAAATTAACATTTGCAACCATTGGTGTATTTGAACAGGGAAGAGTTTTATTACTTTAAGAGTGTTGTCGTCGACTATTGTTTAAATAATTAAATATAAATAAATCAAAGTAGAAAGCCAATTTCGTAATGCCGCCTATTTCACCAACCCTACATCATGTAGGTACGTACCACTCACATAAATTACATGTTTTTTTTGGGTTGTGCAACTAAATAAACTGAAATTATGAAATATTCTTCAAGTCGATAACCTTAATTAAATTTCACCAACAAGTGTAATTGTGCTATTCCAAATGAATGTCGGCAATTAGCGTCGTTACATGATTTAGTTTTAATGAATGAATTTAACCTAATTGCTGTAGGTATAGGTGGAACTCGCCGCCGCCGCCGGTTCGATACAAACGCACCTAATTAGAAAACACGCACATAGTTTTATGGAACAATAAAAGAGTAACGGTTCGTTAGATCAAAGGAAAAATGTACACAATGTCCGAAGGTGTATCAGCGCTTATAGTCATCATCCATTTATTTTATTAAAGAACCGTTAGAATTCGACAAACAACAACAACAACCGCAATACGAAAATATTTCGCGTTGCGACAAAAAGGAAAACAATGGCGAAAACTCACCGGTCCACCGTCCGAATTCTTCGCGCCCTCGATTTTCCAATTGCCCGCATTTTTCGGCGACTGCACGAGCAGCAGGGCGACGCACAGCGCCAGACGCTCGAAATTCATCACTTCCTTCGCCCAACGTCTAACACCAATTGAATTCTCGACATCGGTTAATAATTCTTCTCGCCTAACCACCCACCCACCCGTCCGCCGAAAAATTAGCCCCGCTTCGAGTGGATGTTTGCAGAACGCGACCCAATAAAATACAAAAGATGACGATAGCGCAGTTGGCGAGTGTGGCGTGTTGGTTTTTTTTTTAATTGCGTGCGCTATCGAAAGTCAGTTCTTGCACAATTATAATTGCGTATACGAGCGTAACATAAAAAAAAAGGTGCTTTGATTGGTGCAAGTGGAGACTATTCGGTATTCAGCCGCCGGTTCTGAGGACTTGCTAATTATCGGAATTAAGGAGAGGCTATTTAAATTTAAAAAAGTACCTACCAAAAGAAGGAGAAGGATCCTTACAAAATGTGCACACTTTTTGCACAGTTATAGGGACGCTTTAATTTTTCGTTTGCACACCTCTGTAATCAAAAGAAAATTTGGGGTGGTCATATTCACGATAGCCTTGAGAGGTTCCACCCTGTATATACAACTTACGACGATACATACATTTTTGAGAGTTGGCAACCACGCAATTTCTAGGTGTGGAAAAGCTGCCTGCGCCACCTAGAAAGCACGAACGTGGATTACGTTTGGCATCTTGTCTTGAATGGCGGTAGTGAACGCGTCGCTCCATAAATGTTTGTTGTTATTTTGTGTTATTTAATGCAAGTAGTAATCTTTGCATTCCTTTATATCGTATTTGTGTTTTGTATGCCGCATTTTATATTTTTTGTGTGTTTCAATCTTTGTTTTGGAAATTTACTTGGTTTAACCGCAATCCATAATCACATATGTGATACCGTTACGCTATTGTTTGTAATTGTTTACGTTTTTGGTGTAATGCTTGCTTAATTATGTTTATTGATGTTGATTACTTGGTCTTGTCCCTGAAGTTACATTCATATAAGTCGTTTGTTACTAACAATTTTCTCCGTGAATGAAGCAGTCACGGGGGTGGTAAAAACTGTAGTCAAAATTGAATCACGACACCTATTTCCGTGATTGTCTTCGGCATTCAAAGGCTCGAAACCTCGAAACCAGGGTCGGGTTACCCATCTTGCAGGAGCGGGATTACGCTAATCAAAGCTCTTCAGTTTAGAATCTATGTGCGATAAATGTGTGGCGATTCAATAATTTCCACATACCTTGTTTTTAGTTAAATTTGCCTACTAGGCCATGTAATTTTCCATCTTGCTTTTAACAAAAGGACTTTATTGCACCAAAGTGGAGCCACATCCTGTGTATTTCACCCTCTCTTAGAATCTTGGTACCTGCTTACCTGCCCCATTATTCCCAAAACTTGTTTTTAACCTATTTGTTACCTCTTGAAGTCTACATGCTACTTTTTGTATTGTTATAATTTTATGTTACGCATTCACATCATTACAAACAATTAATTTTACTACACAATTTAATATTAATTTGTCGGCTTGTTTTTTTATTGGTAAGTTCTTTTTTCCCAGCCTATGTCTATTTTTATTCGGTGAACTACCATTTTCAACGTTTATTTTTGCAATGTAATTTATTTTGACTTAAATTTCCAAGCTTTTACTATCATAATAATCACGATAATTATTAAACAAACTTTTCACGATTTGAGTTTTATTTAACGTTCCTCCCCTACCGTGCTTCAGGTCATAACGTTATCTACAACTAACGTAAGGGCGCCCTGCCTTAGATGTTTGATCACGTGCCACTTTTCAAATTTAAGCGAGATCTTGTTTAGTTTTGGAGGGATGGCTATTATTAAACGTTGCCGGGTTGACTTTATTTCCGAGTTCTTGTAGTGTGAAGTTAACGTAGAACCTGGGGGTTAAGTACACTACAGCCTTAATAAAACAACTAAGCAAGTAAAAGACAAAACGATTGAGGCGATTTAGAAACTGAGCCATCTGCCAGAGTCTACGTCAAGCCACCTTCGTGCCGAGGACAGAGATTTTCGCAGCATTTCCAAGGAAGAAAGCAAAAAAGCTGAAAATTTCCATGGCAAAGCACGCCATGTTACCGGGCGGGGTAACGTAAGTGGCAAACGGAGGTTGAAAACGTATATTACACAATATTTACAAATAATACAGAGGATATATGTACATATATAAGATCGCTTCTGGCACGTGGGATGGCGCCGGACTTGACTACGGTCAAGCCGGGAAGTGATGGCGTGCGGAGACGGTACTTGAGCCCAAGCGACCAGCCTCAGTCGCTTGTGTAGGGTAAGGTAGGCTTGCCCAGGCACAAGTGAAGTTCCCCTGTCGGTGCGCTGCTTATAAACGATTTCCGGTAGAGGCGTCTGGCGACGCGGCCAATAGGGCGCTAGTGGATGGTGGGGTGGAAGTTGCAACCCCTCTCCTAGTCGTCGTAACAGTATCCCCCCCCTGTAAAGGGGTTGCGACGGCGGGGTGCAGGCGCTGTAGCAAACGGCGGTGACGGGGTTGTCGTTGGTTCCGTGGTGGCGTCGGTGAAATGATTCTTGGCGGAAGTTCCGGTACTGGTGCCGGGGTGGGTTGGTTGGGTGCGGGGCGTAGATCGTGTACGTGCACCTTTACCAGTTCGTTTCCTCGCCTTATCCAGTACGCGTTTGTGCCCGCCAGCGCTTCGATGGTGTAGGGACCTGTGTACTTCATGTGAAAGTTCCCGGAGTGTTGGTCCCTGGATCTTTCCATCACTCCGTCGCCTACTTGGTACTGGGTGCGGGCTGGCCCGTAGTTCGCGTACCGGCTGCGGGATCGTGCCTGGTTCCTGTGCACCGTCTGTACGACCTCCTCTCGGGCTTCTCCTGTCGGTGGAGGTGGTCGATCCCTGGCTTTCCACTCTCCTGGCCTGGGTAGGTCGTAGCCTAGCAGCGCGTGGCTCGGCGTGAGTCCAGTAGCGGCGTTTCTCCTCGTACGTAACGTGAACATGACAATGGGTAGTACGGCCGCCCAGGCGCTGGGGCTTTGTCCCACCAGATGAGTGCGGAGGCCCTTTTTGATTTCTTGGTTCCGGCGTTCGACGGGGTTCGCCTGCGGATGCCATATGGGCGTCGTCCAGTGAATTGCTCCCCACTTCCGAAGTGCCGCGTCCCATGTCACTGATGTGAATTGCGGTCCGTTGTCTGAGATGATCGCTCTCGGGAAACCATAGCGTGCGAATACCTCGTGTTCCAGGATTCTGACCACTGTTGGAGCGACTGCTTCCTTTACTGGAAATGCCTCCACCCACATGCTGAAGAGGTCCGTGATCACGACTATCTGGCGGTAGCCTGTAGGTGTGGCGTCGTAGGGGCCCATCAAGTCTACGGAAACCGCTTCCCAGGGTCGTGTGGGTTTGCGCGGGCGTACGGTGGCGTCCTGGACCGGGCCTCTTTTGACTGCCGCGCAAATCCAACATGCTCGTACATAATTCCGCACCGTGTCTCCCAGTTTCGCCCAATGGTAATGTGTCATTATGGCCCGTTCCGTTTCTTCGGCTCCTGGGTGTCCAGCTGTGGCTGCGTTGTGGTACGCTTCTAGTACCGCTGGTTGAAGGCTGCAGGGGACTACGAGTAGGTTCCCTTGGGGTGCTTTGCGGTAGAGGTAACCGTTGTCCACCGTGTAATCCCGGTTGAACCTTGCTTGTGCTGGTGTCGCTGGTCCTTCCTGCTGTATCCTGTGCCAGGTGCGTACCAGAACGATGGCGTTTTCGTTTGTCTTTTGGCACTCCTTCACATGGTCCGCCAAATTGGCCACTTCCACTGCCGCGATTACCGGGGTGCTGTTGGTTTGTTTGGACTCGTGTGTGGTCGTGGGTGGCAGCATGCGGTTTACGTCTTCTGCCGTGGCTTCTTCGGCTTCTTCTGCTGATGGGTGGCGGGACAGGTGGTCTGGAAGCTCGTTTTCTTTCCCCGGACAGTGGACCACATCAAATGTAAATTCTTGGAGCCGTAATGCCCAACGAGTTAGCTTGCTCTTTTCGTCTTTTGTGCGATCCAGCCACAGGAGAGCGCGGCTGTCTGTCTTCAACGTAAAACGTCTATCTTCCAGATATGGCCGGTATCGTTTAATGGCCCACACTACTGCCAAGCACTCCTGTTCGTTGATATGGTAGCGTCTCTGCGCGTGGTTAAGTTTGGCACTGGCGTAGCTGATAATTTTTTTCTCTCCGGGGTGGGGTTCTTGAAAGAGTACGGCCGCAATCCCGTTTTCGCTGGCGTCGGTTTGCAGCACGAATGGAGTGGCGAAGTCCGGACGGCTGAGTTGGAGTGGTTTGCTAAGTGCTGCTTTTAACTGGCTAAAGGCGACGTCGGCTGCCGCTGTCCATCGGAAAGGGGTGTTCTTTGTTAGTAAGTTATCCAACGGTGCTTGTAATTCGGCACACCGGGGCACGTACTCTCGTAGCCAGTTGGTCAATCCTAGAAAACTTCTTAGCTTCTTCCTCGAGGTGGGCCGGTCTGCGGTCCGGATTGCTTCGATGTGTTCCTGGCACGGGCGGTTCCCGTTCGCCGTGATGTTGTGGCCCAGGTATTGGATCGTTTGCACCCCGAAGCGACACTTTTCGAGGGACAAGCGGAGTTTGTGGCGTTGCAGTCGTTCCAGCACGAGGTGTAGATGTTTGAGGTGCTCGTCCCAGGAGTCTGAGTAGATTATTATGTCATCCAGGTATACCATGACGAATTTCCGTAAATACCCGGCGAGAACGTCCTGGGTCATTAGCTTCTGGAACGTAGCAGGTGCATTCTTGAGCCCGAACGGCATTACTTTGAATTGATAACTCGCTCCATCAGGGGTTGAAAACGCGGTGAGATGTCGGGATTCCGTCTCTAGCGGCACCTGCCAGTAGCCTGATTTGAGATCCAGGCTGGAAAAAACTTTGGCCGTCCCCAGGTCTCGGAGGGTCTCCTGTATGACTGGCAGGTTGGTGCTCTCGTCTTTTGTGATGGCGTTTAGACGACGGTAGTCGATGCAGAATCTCGGGCGGCCGTCTTTTTTCTGAATTATGACGATGGGCGAGCAATATTCG